AACAGCATAGGCAAAGTATAGGGTCATGGCCTTAGGAGTTGCTGAAATGATGTGGCTGAGAGCCTTGTTGATGGAGCACAAGATGAACCAAGGAGCTCAAATGAAGTTGTGGTGTGCCAACAAGTCAGCAATCAACATTACCAACAACCCGGTGCAACATGTAGTTACAAACATATGGAGATTGATAGCTTTTTCAATAAGGAAAAGTTGAATAATGGACTACTAAAGCTTAGTCATGTAGCAACTGAAGAACAAGTGGTTGACTGCCTCACCAAAGGGCTTAGCTCATTAGAATTGTCTAGGTTACGTGACAAGTGGGCTTAGTGAATCTCTTTTCACCATCTTGAGGGGGCGAGTTGAGATTGTATTTAATGTAAGGTCCTATTTGTAAATGGATAAAGTCTAGATATTTATTTGTAAATGTTGTAACTTGTAAGGCTCTATATAAGCCTTTCATCAATGAAATGAAGGAGGTTTTTTTAGCAAATACTTTCAATTGTATGTATGTATGTATGTATGTATGTATGTATGTATATATATATATATATATATATATATATATATATATATAAAACAAAAAATTTTGTTGGCTTTGTTTCTTGCAATTGCAGTGTTCCGGACTCCTTTGATAAAATATCAATTATAAGTCTCATGGCTTAAAATTGACTATATATATATATATATATATATATTTATTTATTTATTTATTGCATATTTAAATAAAATGTATAAATACAAGGAAACGAAGACAAAATTTAAACACATGTTGCACTTCAAATTTATTTTTGGCCTATGTGTTCATTTGATTTTGAATCCTTTTCAGCATCATGATAATTAAGTAATAAATTACAAAATCTCATCCATACAATTAAAAAAAAGGATAGCAACCTATCCCCGTATATTATACATTTACGAGGGCACAAGGCCCGCTACAAACAAAAGCATATAAAGGGTGAAACAATTTGGTACAAGAGACCATGACAACACTTTTTTGTAATTTTTTTCAAAAAATAACAACTTCGTGGAGTTGTAGGGACTCAAAACCATGCCATGAAGGCTGAGAGTGAGGCTATGAACCATTAAGTAGGATCAGATTCATACCTCATCCATAAAATTTATTTTGAATGACACTTATTGTTCAAAAAAATGCTAAATTTGAAACAATAATCGCTGTCAATTAAAATAAATTAGATATTGAAAATTTAAAATTTTATATTTAAATTATCATGATAATTGAAAACTTATTCATATGATCTTAATTGTAATCCCTTCTATATTTAATTTTTTCTAATATATAATTTCTCATGCTTAATTTCTGCCATGCATTAAAGATTCTCAAAAATAAAAATTAAAATAATAACAAAATCATTATAAAATAAATGCAGTTCAACAGAAATAATTTATATATATATATATATATATATATTTTGGACTACTTAATTGTTATTCTTTTACAGATAAAAAGTAGTATAATATTATGAGGGAGATTGACTTTTAATCCCTCGCACATGTTTGGACCGATATGCCCCTTGTATTTCCAGTTAGTTAAGCATCCCCCAAACTGATTTTTGGGCCAAAATACATTTATTTTGAAATATGACTGATAATCCATTATATTCACAGGAACAGTCAAATGAATAATCAAGTCAAAAATCTCATTTCTCCAATTAACATCTTTTATGGCTCCTTACTAGATTGATCGGATATCCAAGTGTCTCCATTGAAAATATTACATTTCAAAGCTTTTACCCTCTTATATAGTCTCTTTTAATGCTGTCCGATATTTGTTTTTAAAAAGAATTGAAAGACCAACTTCAAGGCATGTTCATAAAAAAGGAGAGTTCAATTTTTTTTTTTAAACTGGTTGATGAGTAAACCTTAGGTTTGTAAAAACCTAAGGTGCAAGTATGATAAATGTCAGTCTCTTCTTATCTATCATTTGAATAAAATTCGAACAAAGTGAATCCAAGTATCTGCTTCAAGAGTCGAGCCCTCTCATGTTGACGAGACTGAATGCTATGTTTGAACAAGAGGTTAAAACCCTAGGTTCAAATTAAAACTTTGAACTAGACTGAAAAAAGTTACCCTAAATATGAGATTCAAATGGTGGTTTGAATTTTGCAAGAACCAAGTTCCAACTCACAATTGGTGTTCAAAAATATTTTCACCAAATATTGCAGGTTAGAGCCCGAAGTTTGAACCTAATTTGAACTTTTGTTTTGAATTAAGAGTTCAAACCTTAGCTTCGAAATAAAGAATTTAAAATTGAATTCAAAGTAGGTTTGAAACTTCAAAGTTTGATTCAGACATTCACTTCAAAGTAGAGGTTTGGAAATGGGTCAAGTCAATGAATATTGATCTGTCAATATGCTGCCCCATTTTCAACCAACCCTATTGTCTCCTTTCTATTCTTCTCCATACAATTCTAAAATATTTATAGCTGATTCACACGTAAGAAAAAAATGTTGTGAACATAAATTTTAAAAAATTATTAATTGGTTGAAACAAGGATCAAACCAGGTTCAAACCGAAATTGAATTTTTCTATAAACATGTTAGAGACCTCATTCCAACACAAACAAAAATTATAACCATGCTCGAATCAAACTCAAAAAATAACATAAGGAGGTTCAAACAAAGGTTGAATCAAGCTCAAAACTTATTATAAACAAATTTGAGCATATCTAAACCAGGTTTAAAATAGGTTTGAGTTATATTCAAATCAAACTTGTAAAATAATTAAAGATGTTCGAACAAGGGTTGAATCAAATTAGAACTTTGTTATAGGTTTTAAGCAAATCCGAATTTATTTGAACAATGATCAAGTCAGATTTGGTTAAACCATATTTAAATTTGATCTAATAGGGTTTAAATAGTATTCAAATTTAATTCCAACAAGGTGAGACCAAATTGACTTCTCTAAATCAAGTCAACTCTTTTCTTGAACCAAGTTAGAACTTTAATTTGACCATCTATCTAACTTTTGTATTTCTACCAAAATTATCTCAATGATGTCATTTTCACTAAAATTTTTTTAACCGTCTACACTTCAACTAGACAGAAAAAAGTGACCCTAAATATGAGATTCAAATGGTGGTCTGAATTTTTCAAGAACCAAGTCCCAAATTGATGTTCAAAAATACTTTCAACCAAGTATTGTAGGTTAGAGCCCAAAGTTTGAACCTAATTTGAACTTTTGTTTTGAATT